GCTGGCATCTGGTCTTTGATTTCGCCAGACGGCTTGGCCGCTGTCGGTCTCGCAGGTTCATCCTTAGTGAATGGATGATAGTTGATGGAAGTCGCGTCATCGTTGGTATCTGCGAAATTCAACTTGATAGGCAATCCGTTCTCGGAGGTGCCCGGCTTGGCCGGGCCTTCGATCGCAGGGCCAGGAACAGTATCACGGGGTCGCATGACAGGCCTCACGGGCGTGTCTTGCGAAAGAAGAGGCATATCGAATGGGCTTAACTTAAGCAATGTGTCCTGTTCCTTCTCACCATATGGGAAGGACTCGGCGATGATAGCTTTGAGCTTCATCGCCTCTCTTTCTGGCGCAGCTGCGCGGGCCAGAGCCTAATCCTTCCCCCGAGCGTTGGCAACTGACCTCTCTGAGCTCAACCTAATCGGCTCCTCAGCTTGCTCTTTCATCTTCTGAACTTTAAGTTGGTCAGCGCTGCATTCGTCAAGGAGCTTTTGCCGTTGAGCCCGGCAGTCCCGATCGGCGCTGTGTGTTTGCCATTGCTCTTCCCACTTCTCCTGTTCCGCTGGCAAACTCTTTCGTAGAGTGCATGTAGAACATCGCTTGGCATTCACGTTGAAGTGGTGGTCTTTACGACCCGGCAATCCACAAGTAGAACAATCTCCGACTTTCGGCTTAAAACAGATCGGGCAACTCTCTTCATCGTCCCATCTTGCGGGCTGTGGCTGCGGAGCAGCCTTTATTCGCAGCATCGGCGTGTTCTCATCTCTCTTGATCGCCGCGCCAGGCTGGGCCTGTGTGGATGCCGTGCCGGACGGCTGGGCCGCCGGCGATGGTCTTCTACTCGCCCCAGCCGACTTTGTCGGTGGGCACGCGTCGTCGCCTAGCTGCATATTTTGAAGAGGTGCTCTGGCATTCTCATGCAACTTGAACTCTTCTCTGTCCTGATTATTATGATCAGCTATCGTCGCAGCTACAATCAGGGCATTGGCCACTTCCAGCCTGACAATTTAAAGTTGTTCTTGGAGCTCCTGTCTTTCTTGTTCTGTCCTGGCTGTAGCGACTCTCTCTCCTTCTATTCTCGCCGCCGCAACAGCGGCGGATGCGATCTTGGCATCAACGGACTGATTGGTCGCCGTTATCATGGCTTGTCGTTCGGAGGCTATCATCTCAGCGTATCTGTTCTCGGCTTCCTCTTCCGCTCGCTGCATGGCAGCTGCGGTCTGATGGGACATGTGTTCCACCAGCTCTTGCTCCCGCTCTCTAGCGGCCTGGGCCATAGCGAGTTTCTCGGCCTCAAACGTCTTTCGAACGTCCTCGATGGCTGCATTCATCTCTTCTCGCTCCAATCGGGCCTTCTCGGCCATCTGAGCCTCGCGGGCCAGGAATTTTCGCTGGTTTTTGCCTCAACAAATCTTGCCGGATCCTGCGCAGCTTGAATGAGAAGATACAAACCATTATGCTCTTTCATCGGAACGCAGCCCGCACACAACCACTGATTGCTACAATTGGGGCACACGTCAGAGCAACTCCTACATACTGGGCGCCTACAGGCTCCATTCGGTTTGTGGGCTTTCCCCGGGCACATGTTTTCCGCCTGGGGCGGGAAGTTGGGGCCCCAGTTCCAGCATGTTTCGCACATGGATATTGCACCGTTGCTCCTCGCAGCAGATCGAGCTCCAGATCTTGGCATCTTAAGCCTTCCCCTGTTCGAAGCATTTGATCTAGGACGCGTGTGCGTGCAGTCTGGCGGTCTAGTCGCCTCTCGAAGCTCCTCATCCCTCTCGTCTTGTCTAACCAACTCATTCAACGAAGCTGGGGGGGGTGATCATTTCATCGTCCTCAATGACGACAGGTATCGATGGTTGCCAATCGCCTGGGGCGACGGCGGTTCCATGAAACCCTTCCTGAAACGGGAAATCATTCAGATCGTAATATTCATTCCTTTGCTTCTTGAATTGAGGAGCGGGAGTTTTTCGCGTGACCTCCCGGTCATGCTTCGCTTGAATCGGATGCTCCATTTCCACCTCAACCGCCTGGGGCGGCAGGTCCCTTATCTCAGTGTCCGAGTCTGGTATTGCAAACGCTTTCCCAATGGTTTCCACGTGATCGTAATCAACTGTATCCTGCCCAAGAGACCACCTCTCGTCTTGGACGGGGTGGCGTGCGTCCATGTTCGAGGACAAATCTCGGCCCAGTGACACTTGATACTTGGCGTACGCAATGTCTTCTTCCATGGAGTTTACATCATCTTCATCATCAAGTAATTCGTCACTATCTTGGCCAGTTTGTCCGTTCAACGCTATAGGATGGGATAAGTCCCTTGAACGTTTCCCCAACCGTCTGGGACGGCGGGATACACGTCTCTGGTCTCTTCAGTTTCGCCTGACCCAGTGGCGTGGCCAGCGGCCGGCACAATAGCCTGCGTAGCAATCGGCCTGGAACGTATTGTCTCTGAGGATTCGGCAATTCATGACGAAAGCGCTCCTCGTCTGATCTTTGCTGTTGTGCCGTCCCGCCTCATCGGGTCTGGGGTATGTTCGCGATCTCCGATCGGGACTCGAGTGGGAAAATCGTCTTTTGACAAATCAATAACTTCTCCCCTACTCCTTCCACGAGAGACCCGAGCGGTGACAGAAGAAGAGGGAAGGCGGCCCCTCCCCGGGTCGCCGTCCTGTAGCCCTTGTCCGTCGTGCTGTACAACTTGCTGTTCTGCAATTCGCGATCCGACGAACAATTCGGCTGTCTCATCATAGCTCATCCCTCTTGCGATTTGGTCGCGGCTTTCGGTTGATAAAGAGTATTTCCTCTGATAACCGTGGTAAGATGACAAAAGAATTAAGGTCTCGTGATGACTCTGCTCAGTGGTAGAGGATACAGGATGGGACATCAATGGTAAGAGAAGTGTACCGTTAAGCAACTGCCCCCAATAATGGAAAGGGAGGGGGCCGGCCGGCCGACGACCGACGACGCGCGACGGCCGAGGGCTAGCGCGCTCCTTTTTATTCCTGTGAGCAATAACAGCTGCGGTAAGTACCGCGGTAGCAGTTAGACAGCGCAAGGCAAGGCAGGCAGTGACAGAGGCAAGTGCAATATGAGGCGGAGAGGAGCATATTTACTAAAAAAACGTGCGTGCCCAAATTGACACGCAGAGGGCAAAGGCAATAATTGGCGGAGAAAGGAGGTTGGAAGGGGGAGGGGGAGACTGGAAGGAAGGACGCGAAGCGATGCGTACCCAAAACGAGGGCCCAAGCCATAACAATATGGCTGGGGACAACGAATTAGCATGCGTCGTCCCGAACCCAATCGCAACGCGTGGCGGTTTCGACGCACCCATCAAAGACGAACGCATATTTGAAAAAGTGCGCGCTTCCGCGCGAAAGGTGCATGGGACACGCGCTTAGCTGCCCCGATACGCAACACGCGACACGTAGCGTATTGATACGGAGCTCAACACGTGGACTGAAAGCGTAAGTCCGACGCGATACGTTCGCCGAAACGTGGGCCAATACGTGGAGCCAACAGTTTTTGGTCGGCGGGGCGAGAGCGAACCTCTTCCGCTGAAAGCTAGGCGGGCTACGCGCAGCTTTAATTGGGGAAGCAGGGCACAGGCGGGCGGGGCCTCAGGCGGCCGGAGAGGGCGGGGCCCGGGGTGCAGGCGGTGCCGAGGACCTTGCACAAGAAAAGGTACGACGTGGAGAGGGGCTGGAGGCTACGTGGAGCCAACACGCAACGTATTGGCTCGGACGTCTGAAACACGGCACGTGTTGCGTATCAAAACGGGCGTACCGAGGCAGCTTAGGACACGCGCGTATCGCTCGCCCCGCGAGGCCCTTGTGAGGCGAAGCCAGGCGACGATGGGAGCCTGCTGCGCGCTGGCGAACGACTGGCACGATCGCGCGGGCCGGGGCGACCGGCGTCCGCAAGTAGGAGGAGGAGGAGGAGGAGGAGGAGGAGGAGGAGGAGGAGGAGGAGCAAGAAGAAGAGGAGGAGGAGGAGGAGGAAGGAAGAGGAGGAGGAGGATGGCGAGGTGGAAAATGGGGCGAGGGAGGAGGAGGAGGAGGAGGAGGAGGAGGAGGAGGAGGAGGAGGAGGAGGAGGAGGAGGAGGAGGACGCACGGCGAGGGCGAGCGGCGCGCGATCGGCGAAACCGAACACCAATTTGTCACATCCTCTGCGCCACAGCGATCCTGGCACGCGCGCTGGCGGCTCCCTCGTTCCATCGCGCAGGGTCCTACAATGGAGGCCAGTCCACAAGACACCTTCCACGAGAAACCCAACCCTGAGATCCGGGAGGTCCATCGATTTCTGGCGTGGGGGCGTCACGCTTTCCACGACAAAACCATCGAGACCCAAGAGACCCCGGGCACCCTGGAGGCAAGCCGGGTGTTTCTTGGCATGGGCCTCCACTGTGCGAGTCGAGGACACACGGGGATGACGAGGGGAGGTGGGGGAGGGGGAGGAGGAGGAGCATTGCATTGCATTGCACACGGCTGTTGGACGAATGAACCAATGGGGACTCCACTCGCGAACACTGAGCTACAGCTGACATCAGCGGCAGGCGGTCGTGCCAGGCCGAGGGGGCCGAAGAAGCCGAACAGGGGCCGACCGAGGGGGCGAGCGGGCCGAGGCGACCGAGGGGCCAGGCCGAGCGACGAGAGGCGAGGAGAGAGGCGAAGACAAGGGCAGGCCCTGACCAGTAAAACAAAATCATAGCATGTCCGCCGTCCACACCCGAGGTGATTCAGATGGCCAGGTGCGCACGGCTGCGCTGCCCAAGCTCTACCGCCAGGGCACAGTGCGCGCACACATCAGAGACTTACTAACACACAACAGCAACAGCGGCAGCACGGTGCCTCCCTCATGTTGCTCAGGTCGAGTCGTCCCCCTCCGAGAGCGAGATAACCTCATCCTCGCCCCTGAGCTGAACCCCGTCGAAGCTGGCTGCGTCAACGATTTGAGTGCGTCTCTCCACGCCATGATCTCTTCCTCTCAATAATCGCTCGGGACCATCCCCTGGATGACTATCGCCCCCATGGCCTTGAATCTGTCCAGGACCACTCGTTCTTCGGCTAGATCGTCCAAGGCAGTCGCTAGCTTGATCGTTTTGTCGTCCTTGCATGACTCGAAGCGGCACAGTCGGGGGTAGTCTGGTGGCACATCTGTGAACGTCATTTTCACGGCCTCTAGCGACTTGCGATTCATGGCTCCGATCTCCTTTGTGCTGGTATTCTCCATCATCGCCTCGTACACCACTGGCGCTGGCGGGCCCCATGTCTGACGCTGATGCGCCATCGCCACGGACTCCTCGTCGACTTTCTTCTCGCGATCCCTGTCCAGCCCCCTGGCACCCTTGGTCTCCTTCTTCAGCTCCGCGACGACCTTCGGGCAGCAGCGCGCTGCCCCCCCTGAGAAGTCCCTCGACAGGCCCGCGCCCTTCACTCCCAGCTTCTGCTCCTTCGGCTCGACTCCTTCGAAGCCTGCTGCGCTAGCCTGGACCCGTGCTCCGCCCGTCTCCTTCAGCTGCTCGCGGTCCTGGAGGCTCTTCTCCTCGTCGTCTGGCTGCAAGTCTTTCCCACCATTCAGCGACCGTGCCCGGGAGCCCTGTAGCCGGACGGGGCGCCAGCTGCCTGCCTCCCCGATCTCCATGCACGGGCGCGGCTGGGACAAAGAGGTCGGCAGGAGTGCGGAGTTCACTTCCACGGGGTCGAGCTGTCGGTGCTGGCGTCGAGGCGGCTCGGCGGCGCGGTCGCGATATGGGCTGGACAGGTGCTGGTCTCGGTTGCGCTACTGATATGGAGCGGCCCTCCTGCGTAGGTGGCAAGTGCGAGCACAAATGGCAGCGGGGGGGTCGTACCTGGCAAACGTGATATGGCACAGCGCGCACTCGTACGTGTTCATCTGCTTGAATGTGCACGGGCACGCTGTGTTGTTCATGATGCATCTTCCTGCGTGCCATGATCGCGCTAGATGTCTGACCGCCTCCCCCCTGCTCTGGAATGTCGTGTTGCAGTTAATGCATGCGTTGCTCGGCGTGAGTATGTTGAATATGCTTTGTCCCCCGTGCCCTGGTTGTCGTGACTGACATGCATGTGCAATGAGCGCAGCACGCGACCGAAATACTTGCCCGCAAGACTGCCCATCAGGAGGGGAACGAATCGCGCAGGTGAAAACTTCGGCATCTGCTTTTTCCCACGTCTGATCATCATCCTGGGGCGCTGGCACAGTCTCCGCCAGCGAAGGTGGCGGGGCCCACTGTACTGCAGAAAAGGCACTGCGCAGGCACCGCGGGTCGAAAGCGGCGAAGAGGTGGTTCACCTCCTCGTCCCACAGAAAGGTCCAGCATCGCGCCACTCCTCCACGCTTCCACGAAGGACTCCGCTTCAGGGCACGTTCAGGATGCCGTCGGCTGGCAGTGCGGGCGGGCAGCGATCTCCGCAGGTCGCCTCCCACCGCATGTCACCAAAGAAAGTAGAAACCAGATAGGCGTGGTTGTGCGGTGCACGCGCCACTGCTTGCCATGATCGTAGTCGTTGAACTGTCGCTTCGATAGCAAAGGGAACCACATTCCAATGTCGGTGCACCTCACGCGTCGTCATTGTCTTCACATGCTTGCCTCCCGTCGTCGTCACTGTGCCCCATCGTGGAGCGTAGTTTCCGAGCAAGGGTTCCACAAAGTTGTCGGGTCTCGCTGTCCGTCCAGCAAAATGCCACCGTTCCAGATAGCGCTGCACCACTCACCAGCGATAAGAACATGAGCCGTTTCACACGAAACGGGGCTGAAGAGTGCCAGAAGCCTTGCACCATCATCCAGCCTTTGTTCACTGCAGCCAGCCTCGCCTGTAGCTCGTTCGCGTTGCTGTTCGCCGCGTCGAACCGCGCTCCTAGATGCCTGAGTTGGTAGCCGCTGCGACAGCCGCTTTGACGGAGATCTCGAACCACGGCCCGCGCCAACTGACGAGAGGGGCAAGTCGGTACCACGTCCTGCTTAGCACGGTTCTGGCCGTGCCCGCGAGCAGCCAGGGCCTGATCAAGGCCCGGGTCGCTCCGCTGCGAGGCCGTCACTATGTCGAGAGAGGTCGGGGCGTGCTCGAGTAGCTGAGTCTTGAAAATGTCATCCATGAAGGCGCCAATGGAGGCGTCGATCACGGGATAGGGCGGCAGGCGGATCGTCATGGCCCCGTTGGTAGCTCGTCTGTCCACCTCCGCCCACTTTTGCACTTCCACGCGGTAGTTCTGCATGCAAATCTCAGGCTCTGATGTGTCGCCCATGAAGCCGCCCGCCCCACTCTGCACAGCGATCTCCCCGTCAGAGGCCGGCGCGATCACGGTGAGGGCAAGGCGACGCTGAAGGGACAGGTCCGCCACGAACGAAATGCCAAGGTCCTCCATCCCCTCCTCCTCCTCCTCCAGGCGCTGACGAACTCCCAGCTCTAAGTCCAACTTCCTGCCGCAGCCGAACGCGTTGGTGGCGTCATACGACTTGTGCAGCATGGTCTCCCCCGCCTGGTGGCCCTTCCACGCGACGATGCGCGTCGTCATCCTGAGGTGCTCCCGTCTACGTCCTCGGGCCGCAAATGCCAAGGAGGAAGCCGAAACGGGACGCCACGAAGCAGCCCTCCTCGTGTAACTGCTCACCAATACGGGCAAAGAACATGGACCAAACGTCGTCCTGCAGCTCCCTCCTTGCCGTTCTTCTTGTCTGGCGTGAAACCGCAGCTCAAGGAGGCCTGCACTGGAAGTCGTCGAACTCGTCGGATGCGAAGGGCAGGGCGAAAGAGGAGGCGGCGAGCTTCCCCATACTGTTCCAAGTGGCGCAATTGGCGGCGATCATAGGGGTCGGGCTGGCGAGGTTCCTCTTCGACAATCAGGTCAGGTCGGGCCCCCGCACCCCAGGGTTGGTTGGCATAGAGGGCGGGGTTGCTGAGCCATGCTGGGTCCACGAGTACCATGTATATTTCCGCTGGTACGGACCGCGTAGGTGCATATATCCCCATGCGCGTGCGCCTCAGGGCCTTGGTCGTCATCTTGAAGTCCTGCGAGCCCCGCTTGACGATGTCCTCTGTGTTGTCGAAGTTGTCGGGGATGGCGTGCCCGTCGGTGTTCATAAGGTCGGCCAGGCGCTCGTACGAGAGGTTGTGGCAGAAGGGGGTCGTGACCACAGTGCCGTCCAGTCCGCCTGCTAGTGGATCGCGTCCCAGAAAGTCGCCCCAGCCAGCCTTAGTCGGGTTGCAAGCTGGATGGGCCCTGTTGTTCCTGTTCTCCACCCCCATGCCAGTCCGAGCGAGTGAGCGGGCCACCTTAGCGACCATCGCCATGTCACGGCGGTTCCATGCTTCTCTCAGTTCGGCTTCGGTGAACGCCTGGCGCTCGCGGCCCCGACGTCTTCGCCAGAGGTGCAGCGCCTTGGTGTAGTTGCGGATGGCGTCCCCCAGTTCATTCGCGTCAGCCGAGAGGTCGTGCTCGGTTTGCTCAACGTCCTGTGCCGTGGCCTCATAGAGGAGCTGGTTTCTCTGCTTGAGTAATTGCCACTTTCGCTCGTCCAGCTTGCGTTCATAGTCGGGGCGGGTCGTGGCTTGGGAGAAGCACTCGAGGGCCACGTCGCGCACGGTGCCCATGATGAGCGTCGCGTGCCCTGTGGTAGTGTCTCTACCATCCAGGATGTCAAGCGACTGCTCGAGATCCACGAAAGTTGCCTCGATCCTGGCCAAGAACTCCTCCCTGCCCGCGCCGTTCATCACCAGGCCCGCCAGCTTCGGGCGGCCCCACCCCTCGCGGAGCGGGGTCAAGTTGACTGGGGCCACAACCTGCAGCTTCATAACCAACGGGACGTGGTCCAGGACGTTGACGCAGGCTCTCGTGGTCTCCGCCGTGCGTTTCCGCTCCTGTACCCACTGCGCCAGCACCTGCGCACTCTGCGGAAGGCATATGTAGTCTATCTGGGAGCTGGCGCCCTTCATGCCGTAGTAGGTGTCGCCCAGTGGGCGAGTTGTGTTGATGGCTCGCATCTTCGCCGCCAGGAGCCAGTCGTAGACCAAGCGGGATGCGAAATTAGCCGAGGGGGCTCCGAAGTCGCCAACCACTGGGTCCTCCGCGTCCTTGGAGGCGAGTCCCGCGTTCAGGTCCATCAGGATGATCGGGGTGAGTCTCTGGGGTGCACGCAGTAGTTGCTCTCTCGCCCATGTTACAAGCGCTCGACAAGTATCTCGCCATATTGGGGCCGCGCCTGGCGTCGAAGGTCTCGGAGGAAAGTGCAATATCAATGCGGCAATCATCAGCGGGCCAAAGGCGATGTGCGCGACGCCCCCGCGGCCTCGCAGGCCCACGGGGGCAAGGATCAACTTCCTGATCGAGTTCGGCCCGGAAAAACGCTTGGATAAGAACAGGGCACGACCGCAGCTGTTCGTCACTAGCCTCGAACGTTCCCATCCGAAGTGCACCGCGTGATGGAAGGGCGTAGTTGTCTTGTGATGCTGCTCTTTCCACCACTGGCGGACGCGCGTGCCTGGGAGGCCCACAATACCCACTCCTCGTAGTGCAGCAGACACCTGCTCCAGGCGCGCCGCCGCCACCAAGTTTTGCGGGTTCCACACTCCCACGAAGGTGAACCGCGCGTCACTGACCTCAACCTGCAGCGGCAGCAGCAGCAGCGCCCGCAGCAGGAGCACTGGGCGCGCACGCCTGCCCCCTCGGGGGGGAGGCGCACTGGCGGTCATCGCCGCCACGCGGACGTGGCGGCCCCCATCACGGCCCGCGTTCCTTCTGAAAGGGCTCCACGGGAAAGGGGGGCCCGCGCGGGGACGGAGCCCGAGGAGGAGGAGGAGGAGGACGAGGAGGAGGAGGAGGAGGAGGATGAGAAGGAGGAGGGGGAGGACTTGAGGTGTTTCTTGGCATGTGCCCCCACTGTACATCAGACCGAGCCAGCCCGCGGACTCCTCGGCCTCTCTCTTCTGCCGTTTCCCGCGCGGGGGCTGGACGTCCGCAGGCGCGCCGCGAAGTCTGGGTCGCGGATCGCAGTCAAGTTGTCCGGCGTCGTGGCGCTGGAACGCACGACGCACAAGTTCAGCCAGAGCCCGTCCTTGCCGCCAGCGACCTTGTGGCCGGCAACGCCGAGGACATCGCGAAAGGCGGCGGCAGTGGCGCGCTTGGAACGCTCTTAGCGGCAACGATGAATAGAAGAAGGAGTAGGAGTAGGAGTAGGAGTAGGAGAAGGAGTAGGAGTAGGACAAGCTAGGTGCGCTCGCGTCATATCTGACGTCCTACCCCTCCCTCCCATCCCTTACCATGGCGCTGATTTTCTCTATCCGCGGACGCGTGTCGTAGCGGACCTGTGGCTCCGCGCGCGCGTGCGTAACTAGTGGGTGGTGGTGCGCGTGCGTGCGTGCGTGCGTGTGTGCGTGGTGGTGGTGGTGTGGTGCTGGTGCTGGTGCTGGTGCTGGTGCTGGTGCTGGTGCTGGTGCTGGTGCTGGTGCTGGTGCTGGTGCTGGTGCTGGTGTTGGTGCTGGTGCTGGTGCTGGTGCTGTGCTGGTGCTGGTGCTGGTGCTGGTGTGGTGTGGTGCTGGTGTGGTGGTGGTGGTGGTGTGGTGGTGGTGTGGTGGTGGTTGGTGCGGCGCGGTGGTGGCGGGCGGATGGGCGCGCGAGAAAGAGGCCCGCGCTGGGGCGAGAACGCCATCCTGAACGACGGAGGCCAAACACCGATCCGAAAATGAGGCCCACGCTGC